ACTTATTGTCGGTTGTTGAGTTTTCATATCCAATGGGTAACCCGTGTCTTTTGTTCTTCTCATTGTACCAGATTCAACCTAAGGAGAAAAAAGATTATGTCTTTACAAAGATTGGACTAAAGAATGAAGGATAATAAATAAGACCATTTTCGAAACATTGGAGGGTGAACAGCTTCATTTTGTTTCTTTAAGTTTATAAAATACGATCCTGGAGTCCTCTCTTGTTTAAAAAATATAAGATATAGTTACGTTAAACTAATTTCGCAAGATACTGATTATGGGGCATTATTTGACAAAGAAGTAAAAAGTAACAGATCAAAGTTTTTTAGTTCTCTGATTCCGAATTTATACTGTTTACAAATTCTGAATAGGACAGGATTTAAAAAATAAATCAAAGAATTATTATTCATAAAATTAAAACGAATAAAATATTAAAATATATATATATAATACTAAATTTTACCATTTTTATACACTCAGGTGTTTCTTATTTCCTTCTCAGTCTGAAGATTCCGTAATTGCTGGAAAACAATATTTGAGAGATTTTTTTTTAACCTGAAACTCTTAAATAATCATGACTGAAAATATATGATATACAAAAGTATATATTATATAATCTATGAAATTGTACAAAAATATATAATTTTGTGTTATAGTTTAATATATGTAATATGTGAGAAAATCTTGTTATGCGCAATCGGAAGATTACGAAATACTAAATTGTGTATTAGGCGGAATTAAGAAGCTCTAGAAGAAAAAGCAAAAATACTTGGTCTGTAGACTATTCACGAAAACACCAAGAACATTGTATTGCAACAGACCAGAAAGTGTAGTTTCTTCGAACACTGACGTGCAGTTTCTGTGCACTGACTTCTTCGAACAAGTCAAATTCAGTTTCAGAAGTTATCTGTGATAATGAAATGGGGATGGGGATCATAACAATATCTGCAAATAGGAGTTTTGTAATGAAGTGTAATACGTCCAATACATAGATTTGGGGGAATAGGTACAATGCAGGATATTTGTCGATATTTTTGAGATATCTTGGAGAAAATGAACCAGTACCAAATTGAACTGTATTCATAAAGAGGCCAATTTGGTACTTGTTTGATATAATTTATATATTGTTGTAAAAACCCATTTTTATAAAAATGAGAAACTTTTAGAGAAAATTCCTTAGATAATTACTTACAGGGCTTGTATTAAAGAATTGCTTCCAATTCTAGTGATTTGTGACCGTTTTCTTAAAATTTTAAAATTTTTTTTGTTTGAAACTAATTTTGAAATTTAAACATTATAACCAAAGTTGTAATTAATCCTACACATGATTTGGAATACACATGACAACGAAGTTATTTCAATTTTATACCTCGGTGGTGAACTATTTTTATATTATTTTTATTTTTATTTTTAAATATATTTTTATTGAACTGATTCTATCTTGATTTTAATCTAGCAAAATGTTTATATAATGAAAATAAAAAAAGATATAATGTTTCATTTCATGATAGTTACTAGGCGAAACGGAAAAGGCACTTTTAAAAATATCCATGTTAATAGTTAAGCAAACGTTTACTTTTCGTCATAAGAACAGAATTGTACCCCAATCTGACTGAATAAAACGGATTCATGTATCCATTTTGAATTAATTTACTCAATGTCTGTAATTAATTCCATGGTTTAAAAAATGTTCAAAATAACATTTTCATCTATTATAGGATGGTCTGTGCCATGATGGGCAAGTTTCTCTCAGTGTTGATGTCATTGATGAGCATCGTAAATCCATCAGGCTGTTTCCGAATTCATCGATGTAACATTGAGTAAGTTCCTAAATTCAGCGCTTAGATCATTGACGAGCATCGGAAATCCATCAACAAATTAGCGCCGAGTTTAGGAAATTGCCCGATAACACAGTTGCATTAAGTAGGATAGATTTAGAAATAGGAAACCCGCTAATTTTTAATCTTAATAGTAAAGACGAAAAAGACCCTAAGAATTATTATATATTGGCAGTCAGCACTTTTTCAGTCTCAAAATTATTATCTACAAAACCATACTAAAGCCAGTGGCTATGACTGGGTGTGAAATATGGACCTTGACAAGATCAGAACGCACGCGCAACTTGCGAAAGAGGTGTAGAAAATAATATGGGTGGAGTAGCTGAGAACGGGATTAGGAGAAGAAAAATGAATGAGGAGCTGCTGGAACTGTTTCGAGAATACGACATGCTGGCATTGGTTGTATAGGCATCCCGAATAAGATGGATAGAACATGCGGAGAAAATGTCCGATCAAAGAAAACCAAAGAGGATGTTCAACGGGAAACTGATTGGTAAGAATAATTGAGTACGCACTTGGATCAGATGGCCGCAGGATGCAGGTGTGAACACGATCTGAGGCAGCATGGTGTTCGAAGATGGAGAAGAACAAGATTGTGCAGATTAGCAGGCTGTAGTTCTTTGTCAGGTTAGGCCCGGGTTCTTGTTGGAGCTTAGTGCCAAGATAATAATAATAATAATAATCAAGTAGGTATTTATCGATTCAATAACAGAGGAGTGTTAATTAACAAAAGTTAGTTTTGGAAACTTGAAGTCAGTAATAAGAAAACATGAAATATAATCGCCATGAATGACTTCAACATCATTATAAGCTTCAATTCTGTGTAAGTAAATCCATGTTCAAAAGAAAAAAGATTATATGGTACACAAATGACTCTTAGGAAATATCACTTTTTTTTCAACAGATTTATGATAAATGCAAATTACTGAACTCAGCGTTGAGCTCATTAATGACATCGTAATTCACTCAGACCAATCCTGAACTCATTGATAGAACCGACCGATGGAGTTCAGCGCATTCCTTTATTCAGCGATTGAATGACCAGTTTTTAGCGTATCTTCTTCAGGTAATTTCATTATAACGTCAGTGTTGTTATTACTCAATTTACTGAACATATTTATATTCCGTTTTTTTTCTATCCATATTTATTTCTGTTTTAAAATTCAACTACTCAGGAGACAGGTCATTTCTTCATACATTTTTTTATTTGATTTACCTACCGAATTCATCAGGTCGTTCCTAAACTCAGCATAAATCACTATCAATCCTGATGGAATTAGCTCTAAGTTTAGGAACTTGCACTATTTTTCGAATAGTGCCTTATATAAAATTTTTACCTACATCTTAATTTCTAATTTTATTTAGATATTCTTACCGGTGTACTAACCTACGGGAATTAAACATTAACACTTTTGGCAAAACGGATAATACATGATTAAAAGCCTAAACAGCGCAATTCAGTGAAGTAATCAATAAATCGAATGAATCCTGCAACGAATGACAGTGATTCATGGTGATTTTAGAAACGACATACTGGATTCCAGTAGAAAAATATTAATCCTGGAAGATTGTTAAGAACCTGCACCACTACTAACAACCCATGAAGTGTCTTGGGTTCAGTACAGTCTGAGGATGTACTGTTAAAAGGCCAACGGTAGTGGAAGATTACTAAACACATAAAAAATATATGATGAAATATTTACTTAGTTAATTTTTGGATTAAAATCTGAAATAAATATAGATAGAAATTATTTATTTAGTTTTTTTTTTGTTGCCTCTACCCTGCAGGTAATTGGCAATACATTCTGATTAAATTCTATTATAGCTTCATAGCTTTTAGGAATGCAACTGTTCTTTTAACAGCCTTTTAGACTTTTTGGTAGGTTTGGTGCTGTATCCAAATTTTCTCTGATATTTTTTTAGTGTAGAGCAGTCTTAAAAATGTATTTTACTGTCCTTGGGCATTATTTGAAGTTAGCTTATTTTTTTTATTTATTTTTTTTTTTTTAATTTGTAAATATGGTGTGAATGTGCTCTCAGAACTCTATTATAAATGTCCTTTATTGAGACAGATTGTAATATTTATCAATAAACCAAAAAAAAAAAAAAAAAAAAAAAAAAAAAACTGTCCTTGGACATTGTAGCTCCTACAGGTCGGAGGATCGAGTCCTTTTACTAGGATGCGTATGTGTGCAAGAACTCACAATGTCCAATTCGTAGTCTGCAGAGGCCTAGATGATCGACAAGAGGTTTCCTATTTTGAGCAGTGGGCTTTTATTTCTCTCAATTTAGAATTCTTTTCTTCCACTTATTTTCCCAAATTTTCCACACATCAATCTTAATTTTTCTCATTTAGTCCTCTAAAAGGATTTTATTAATTGGTTCCACCAGAGTGGTGCTTGCCTTTCTTGCTATGTTGGCAGTCAGGTCAGCTTGCTCATTTCCAGTTATCCCGCAATACGAAGGAATCCAGATGAATCTTATTTGTTTGCCCTTCTGCTTTGGCCGCCACTAATTTCTTACTTTTTTTGCTAGAGTAGTTTTTAGTCTGGTATTTTCAATGGCTTGTAGTGAACTCATCGAGTCCGCTACTACGGCCCAATCGGTAGTTTCGGTTGTCTCTGTATACCTAAGAAATTCTCTTATCGGTACCATTTCACCAATAAAAATTGAGCAATCCTCCGAGAGTTTAAATAGTTTTTGAGCATGAGAATTTATTACCGAAGGAAGTAAGATAGAAATTAAACAGAATATCAAATATGTAAAGTCAATTGAGAGACAACTTAGAGGTTATAATAAGGTTACATTCAGCTTATCAATCGAATTCTAAAGATGATAGAACCGCTGTCCCATGGAGGATTCAGATTTAATCAATGAATTATATTTATGGATCCTCCGGTAAGTTTAGGAACGGTTTGATAGATTTTTGATGCCTATCAATGACCTCAGCGCTAGTTTTAGGAACTTGCCCTGACTAATGGCACCCCCTCCTACTATATTGAATGTTTGAATTTTTTTTTCTAATTCATCTTTAATTACATTTTTTTTTAAATAATAGAAAACTAAAACAAAATACTTCGGTGGTTGTAAGTTGTTTTTATAAAAATATTTTAATCAGTGAACTTTTACAACAACGAAGTTGTGGCAACACTGAAATTGGGAGTGAAAACACTTTTGAGAGTGGGTCTTTTCTTGTTTGTTGTAATCACTTTTCAAAATTGTCGTCTATCATTTATCCAAATTATTTCAAAATGAAGATGGCCGATGGGTCTACTATACTAAGAAGAAACCGTCCAGGGACTAAAGCTAAGGTGAGTTCATAAATTCTTCTCAGAATCGTTATGAACATGTTTACACTTCATTATGTTCTAGGTAATTAGGTTTTAGATTTTTATATAATGTATTCCTTATGTTTGACTTCAACCTGTATTTTTTCCAAAACTTGTGTAACTTGTATGTTTAGTGATACTATTCATTAAATTGGAATTGAAACAAATGTTGACTTGCTATTGTCTTGAATAATTAATCATAGTCCATTTTTAGAATTTTAACGGTTGGCCAGATGAACCATTCGAAGAGATGGACAGCACGTTAGCAGTGCAACAATATATCCAACAACAGATTAGGAAAGAACCATCGAACATTGAGTTGATTTTAACTCCTCCTGAAAGTCAAGATGAGGGTGTATGGAAATATGAGCACTTGAGGTAAATTTATTATTTTCATATTCATTTTCAATTAATAAGAGAATATGTAACGGTTGACGTTCTGAAATCTTTACTCAGTTTATTGACAATGCCAACAGACAGTTTTGCATGGAGCTGAACGGATTAGCTGTCAGACTGCAAGGCGAATGCTTACCAGAAAATTGTACACAAATGACGGCCACCGAACAATGGATTTTTCTTTGCGCAGCACATAAAACACCAAAGGAATGCCCAGCAATTGATTATACTAGGCATACATTAGATGGAGCGGCATGCCTCCTGAATAGCAATAAATATTTTCCTAGCAGGTTAGAGACCACATTCTTTAAACATTATTAATTGTTACTGTTTCTCAATTTTTTTACGCTATGTAATGTTTTAATTTTTTTCAGAGTTAGTATAAAGGATTCATCAGTGACAAAACTTGGATCTGTTTGTAGACGTGTCTATAGAATATTTTCTCATGCATACTTTCATCATAGAAATATTTTTGATGAATTTGAGGTAAATATGACATGTATAAATAAAGGCTTCTGTTGTCAGATGCTAAAATGTTATGTCACTTTTCATCTCTAAAATATAGCAAATTGTACCACTTTTTCATTGTGTGATTCTCTGGGTTTTGACTTATTAAAGTTCATTACGCTTATCATAAAAGAGAAAGACAAAAAATTGTATTTAATTTTTTATGACAGTAGTACTTATAAAATAATGCAATAGTCAAATAATTGAACAATTTTTATATAACAGTATGTGTTTAATTCTTTAATGTTTATAATATTCAAGAAAAGCTTGGAAATACTTATTGGTAATTGTCTGTATTAATTTGTAGAAGCTATATTTTAAGAATCAGTGATAATATTTGGTATCTAAGCACAGATGTTATTAACTAACATACTAATACATATAACGTATTTAATTACTATTACATATTAATAATTTACATTGTTCTGTATGGAATTCTTATGCTCAAAATAATTTTAAGTATTTTGTATCTTAAAGGACATCTTTTAAAGCTTTAAGCCTTTTTTGTTTATATTTTCAAGAACATTTTTCTGTCAGAACATAGACTTCATTAACAAATTTAGAATCATATATTTACTGCGTTCATGATTCTGAATGACATTGTTATACTATAATACAGGAATGGGTATTGTATTATTGTCATTCTTAATTCAGTAATTTGAGTTTCTGTATTCTCACATATGTATGTTAGAGATTATGATTATATTTTTATTGAATCAAACAGCGGTAAAGATTTTGTTTGTCTGTGTTTTATATTTTAAGAAACAAGTATCATTTTAAGGGGATTTTACACTAAATTATTACTAGTAATACAGGCATTAGCAAACTTACTCTGTTATCAGGTCATTAAACCAATATTATCAGCAAAAGTTAACATTTTTCAGAGAAAGTCTTTTGACATTTTGGTAAGGTGTTAATATGTCATGTTATCAGCAATGCTATCTTCAGTTTTAACAATATTTTTGACATTTAATTAATGAAAACTTATCACTTTGCCCTATGTGTCAGTTATAGGTAGTGTTTATCCTTGAATATTTTGGGGAAAATCAAGAATTAATAAAATTGACAATATTATATGTAAAGATAGTTTGAAGCCAGGTAGAAATATTTCTTGCACAAGCCATATGTTCTCTATCATTTTTGACATTTTTAATGGAGTTGAACTTAAGAATGTTTTTGCGAATTTCGATTTTATTTATCAATAAAAATAGTAAGTACACTAAAATTACACAAATCTGCTTTTATATATCGTATGTAGTTACAATGATTTTCAGATTTTGCAAAAGGAAAGTTCTTTTAAATGAAATGATTTTAGGTTGTGAAATGCCACTAATGATTTTTTTGCTATAAACTGTTGATATGTTTTTATGTATTGATGCAGTACCAACCAATAATAGGATTGATATAAATTTATGCGTAAATGTTATTTATCTCTAATTCATCTTTATTACTTTTCCAGAATGAGACCTTCTTGTGTAGGAGGTTTACTCACTTCATAACCAAGTACAACTTAATGTCCAAGGATAACCTGATCGTTCCCATCGTCGAGGGTGATGCCGTTGGCAGTGGTGAATCGGAAGCCTGAGAAAAGCCTAAACCTCCTTTGCGTGTTTCGCCTATAACGAAATAATACTCGCTCTCTTTCGTATTCCCCCCTCGTCAGAAATACTGCCCTGATCCCTCCTCGCGATCGAGGACTAAGAGTGCGACACGCAAAGGTAGGTTTGTTATGTATTCACTCAATGAGTGTACCTATAATCATATGCCCATGATATATTGTATAGTATATAATCTATCTAGTGATCTATGTATTTAAATTATATAATGATTTCTATATCTATAGTATGTATATATTTATGTATAAATGTTAATTTATTATTATTTTAATAAATCTAAATTAGTCATTTTAATACTATGTGTTTTTATTTTTTAATAAATGTTTCAAATATGATGTATGACTTGCAGTATTATTTTTATTAGTGTTGCGAATTTCTGTCATTATATGTCAATTAAATGAAAGAATTCCCTAAAATGAAATACAAAAAAAAAAAATGTTAGTGAATTTAAAGTAGTGATGATGCACTTGTAATTGACCATGTATTTTGAAATGAGCCCCTGTGATATTTACACTGTTTCATAAAAAAAAAAAAAAAAAATTATATTCACTCAGATAGATCAAACTGTTACTTGTCAAATCATAATCCTTAGAAAATACATCACGATTTTAAAAGCAGTATTTATTTTCTTATTTAAAATAATTCTTTATGTGTGTGTTGTCCAAAAATATTAAAAGAAAAAAGGGTGATCGACACTGCTCACTGTAGTCTTATTTTCCCTAAATTTTTGTTTTGGAAACTGAAAGTGGCTTAAATTGTAACATTAATGCATACGAAAATTTAAATTCAATCAAATTTTTTTTTTCTCAGCCCCTAAAGATGAATTGTTGAAATTTTCAAAATTTTAACTTTGTAAGATGGAATCCGTTGTACTACATATATATTATGCATTGTAAGGGAGTTATGAGGAGTTCAAATTTTTGAAAATTGATAAAGTGCAGAATTGTTAGTCTAGTGTTGGGATAGCAGTGTTTATTACCTTGGTGATGGTTCCATCAGAGTTAGCTTCCTAAAATGTGGGTTATTCACTTATTGAAGGCTATCAACAAATTTAATGAGACGGTCTGTCACAGTCGATAGTTCTAAGGTCTTGTGGAGTTGGTCTGTTAATGTCCTCTGTAATGGGTGTTTGACAACACGTTTCAGCACTGCTCTGAAACTTCTGGAGCAACTAAGCTCCAGCAGAGACAAATCAGCATCAGCTGGAACTAAGCAGTTGATACTGATTTGTCTCGTGTTTTGCTTTTGAATATTTATTTCCAAATTATTTATTAAAATGGTGGAGGTTAATAAAACCTTTGGCCTATGGGACACATAGTCCATGGCTGGTGATAACAAAAATATTGATATGTCGGTGTTAAAAGCTATTGAAAGTCAACCATTGATGATGTAACTGATACATCGGCTTAAAAAAATCTAAATATTTTATATTTATTTCCAGTAGCAGCAATACAGATAATTTTTTTTTAAATCGAAGCATGGTACTTGTATAATAGCGGGTAGCGTCCGACTGCTATCTGCCAATGTTTATAACCTTAACACTGATAAGCTCTTCGTATTCATATTTATTGTATTATATTCATATTATTATATCTTTGTTTTCATATTTATTGTATTGTATTGATATTATTGAAATTGTAAATAATAAAAAAATACTTTTATTTTAAAAGATATATAGTAAATAGACCAAAACATTATACGTATATAATCAAAAAACATTGCAATGTATATATAAAAATAGGCAAAAATTAGATGAAATAATAAAAAAACACTTAAACAGCATATGTACATATAAAAGAAACACTATGAATACTATAAAGAATACATATGAAAGAAAGGATATAAATAAAATATGAACAATTTTATTTTAACTTAATTTATTTTTGTAGGGTTTCCTTATAGAAACGGTTTTGTTACAACTACGAAAGCATCTCCATTTAATCTTCCTGTCGAACTTCATTTGATGACCATCACAATATTTCACCTCTGCAAATATCCCGGCGTCTTGAAAATATTTGATAGCCTCTTCTTCTGAAGATGGCAATTCCCACAATGTGACAACATCCATAATTAAATGAGACTAACTCACAGCTAACACAAGGAACAAAAAAATTAACAAGGGAATAACTTAGGTTAGAGGAGATAAGGGAGGCTATGTGAAATAATATTAGATAACAAGGGAGGTTTTGACGTTACCCGCTATTATACAAGTACCCGACGCATCAACAATATATTTTTTATTGAGGAGGGAGATGGTCCGGGGTGATAGTCATAAAAAGACTAAAAATAGTTTTCAGGCACTTAACCCTGAAATACCCTGTATATTATTGAGGAAGAATAGAGCTACCTTTTTTTTTTTTAAACCATGACCTGTTTTTAAATTTAAATTTACCTGTTTTTTTAAATCTCTAAAAACAGATAAAAACCTGAGGCAGGGATACTACTTACTACTAGCATGAAAACTACAAAATACTAAAGTGAATGTTATTTTCAGTAAAATGAATCTTGATTGCCGTTCCAAAGCTGCTGGTTTCAAAAATATTCCAGGCAGTTCAGAAAATGTATGTTGTTTTTAACTAATGCAAATATATAAAAACCAAAAATATTAACTCGGGCTAGCTCAGAGAACTTTTAGCCAAAAAATCATTTAACTTCTGAATCTGGGTGAAAACAATCACTCTATTAGGTTTAAATCCTACCAGGTTGCATCGATGAGGATGATACCTACATTATACCTTTGATTGCGAGAGCTCATTTGCATGTTTCTACCAGATGGTACATCCTGAAATCCAAAAATACATTCAGAAAAACAGATATTTTTTTTTTGCATAAACTTGTTTAAAATACTATTGAGTCACCCAGCAAGATCTTAGCTCTCAAAAATGCATTTTAACCTTTTTATTCAAGTTTTAAGAAACTGGCCATATGCCTTCCCGGCAGCACATAGCAATGCAAAATTAGAGTGGTAATGCCGCAAAACTTCGCTTTCTTGTGTATTTGTTCGTTTCTGAAAAGCAAAATAACTGAAAATTATCATAAAAATAACTGTAGGTGATCATAAAAATTAAATTATATTAAAAAAAAGGCACTGACAGCAGGATTTAAATTATATATTTCTTTGTATTTACAAATTTTTTTCTTACCTAAAAAGTTCCATATCGAAAATAGCACAGTTATACATTTTATTTTGGATTTTTTTCATTTATTTTGAGTTTTAAATACTTTTATATTATATAATAATAATACATAATAATTGTTTTTAGGTGGATGAAAAAATGATAAAACAACTAAGTATCATTTTAATTTTTGTATATTTTTACATTTATTTATTACATTACATATATAGGAAACTTACATTTATTTTTTTAGTAGACAGACATTCACGTGTACCAAAATCCGCATTCAGTCAAAACCAAAATTAAAAAACAAGAAGAGACATTTATAAAATTAAGTTATTAACATTTATTTGATAAAAATAACATTTAAATAGAATACAAATAAGATAATAGATATGACAGAAATAACAGAGAAATGACATACCTTGGGTTCAGAATAAATCTGCAACTGATAAGCTTCCAAATGGTCAGAATCCGGAACAATCGCACTGAGTCAGCTACAGGAGACTAATGAATATACCAACCAAGCCACAAGTCAAATGGTGTTGCGGGACTTGCCCCTATCTGTTCAAGTGGCGACCGCCCAGGGCGGGAAGGCATATATTCCGACCGCACCAGTGACCCAACACACTACCGGGAAGATATAGATCTTAGTTTTCGAGAAAATCATAACAATGTGTAAAATTTAATATAAAGTGCCACTTCCGGTTAGCTGATTTTGACGAAAAAGTTGCTGTAACATCCCAGGTATGTACAAACCTTAAATATGCAATTTCACTTTCATACGACTTTTTGTTTTTGAGCTAGACTATTCACATACAGACACACTCAGGAGATCTCAAAACATGTATTTTCATTGAAAACTCGGATTAAAAAAAAATCACAATCACAATTCTTCTCCTTACTATTATTTCATATATAGGTAAGCGAAAGTAATTTTAATAATTTTATAAATAATTTTATTCTGTAATTACCTGAGAATAATAACAGAGTTACATAATTATAAGCATTAGTGTGGTTTAAAGTATATAAAATAATGCCTCATTAACTGTTAATTGTAATTGTAATGTGCAGTTGATTAAATTATAGAGTATATAGAAGCAAGTAAATTTTACATGTTTGCATAAGTTTGAATATTGAGTAGGTGGTGGAATAGGAGTACTTTGAATGAATTTGTGGACGAGTATTGATGTATGGAGATAGGTAAATAGTTCTAATAGGAGGTAGGACAAATGAAGAAGGAAATAGTATTATGGGAAGGGATATGTAGATCTATAGGTTGAGATCTAGTATTGAGAGAGTCGATAGAGGAATTTAGAGTAAGGAGTTATAGGGTGCAGGGAGGGTTTTTGGTTCTGAATGGTGAAGCTCATTTCATCATTTTCAGCTGGTAGTAATGAAATGTAGTGGAGAAGAAATTTATAGAAATGTTATATGTGTAAATAATAAATAAAAAGAAAAAAAATCTTACATTATTATCTAAGATTTATTGATGAATCTTGAATGAAAATGTTGAACTTTGGTTCATGAATGAAAAAGAGAAATCAAGAATCTGCTTGAGTTATGAGTTTTTCTTTCTTTATATTTTACAAATTTTCTTTTTTTCCATGTTGTTCCAAATATTTTTTTTACATATGAAAAAGGATAAACCGGTAGGTTTGGTAATTATTTTCTTTAATGAATTACTATGCATCTGTAACTTAAATTAAAAAATATATATATATATATACTAAAGGAATTTATGAATTATTGAAGAAAGTTAGTCGACTGTTCTACATATCATAGATGATAAATATTCAGGACGCAGTCATTATAAACTTTTTTTATTAGTGCCGACGTTCCAACCCAAACATGTGGGTCATTAAGGCGTGGTTCGATCATTGAAGCACTCAGTACTTGAATACCTTCAGTGATCGAACCACACCATGATGATGATCCACACATGATGATGACCCACATGTTTCGTTGAAAGTCGGCAATAATAAAAAAGTTTATAATGAATGCGTCCTGAATATTTATCACTCATAAAGAAATTCATGTTATTGTTTATTTAAATAAAAATAAAATATATATATTTTATAATATATACACTGTACAAGTAATTCACAATTCTTTTAAAAAGAAATATTGACTTTACACAATAAAATACAAATAATTTTTAAGAATCATCTTGCTTTGGAATATTCTTTTTGGGTTTTCCTTTGTTGAAACCGAGCCCTGCTTTCTCAACCTGTGGGCTGATGTTAGGCTTCATGTGTTTCTTAGGCCTGTTTGGTCTACCGTTACCCCTCGGCTTATTTTCTTTATTCGGTTCTTGGTAGCTGAAAAATAAGAAATTAAATTATTTGCAATGACTAATAATAATAACATAGAATAACTCTGGATATTCATGAAAATAAAATCGAGATGAGTTAACTAATAATTACAAAAAAAAGGTAGGTGGCAAAACATAAATTATGTTCATAATGCCAAGAAAAAAAACCTGTACCAGTACAATCCATGAAGGGTCTTGGGTTCAGTACTATTTAGGAAAGAACTGTTTCAAGGCCAACGGTTGTGCAGGGAGGGGATTGGGCCGGGATCACACTCAACCGCCAGGTTGTCCCCCTTAATTAAGGGTACCTATTTTGTAGAGGCTGGGTGTGCCACAGGAGAGCCTCCCTACTCCCACGGCCAATGAAACAGAATAAATAATTTTTCTGCCATGAGCCGGGATTTGAATCTGGGCCCTTGAGCATTGGTAGCTTAGTGCCCTACCACTGAGCTATCCCGCTCCCTTCGTAATGCCAATAGAAACAAAAAATAATAAATTCAGATATGTAACAATAACTATAGATTAATAAAAAAATATTTCAATTAAAAAAAAATTAAACTGACTACAAAAATTGGGAAATTTAATCCACCTTAAGGGAATGTACTTCCATATCTACTGAAACATCTTGGTAGATTGATAGGAAAATTAATATCTACGAATATTTAAGCTTGGTGTAGAGGTCGAGTTCCTTTCACTACACATTGCAGCTCTAGGCAAATATTTTTCATACTATGTATGAACATCATAAGTGCATATAAACATCCAAAAATCTTGAGGTGCGATAGGAACCCGTCGATTTTTTCAATTTTTAGTTTTTAAAATATTAACAATTCATTTTCATAACATATGATATCAAATGATATCATTTCAAATAAATTAATAATCAATATATTTAAACTATAATAAAATTTGTTTTAGTATTTTGAGCTCAAATTGTTTCAAAACACTCATGGAATCTCACCGAATAATTTGAGTTATCGTACTTAAAAATTGATCCAGCCGTTCGCTCAAAACAGCATTACAAATTGATAAAATACATTTTATTTAATAACGGGTCAGTTTTTTTTTTTTAGCACAAATTGTTTCAAAACACTCAGGGTTCCTCACTGAATAATTTGAGCCATAAAACTTATAAAATGATCCAGCGGTTCATTCAAAAAAACGTTACATAGCTTTTAACTATAAATATATATAATAAAATAACCTGGCAATCCAAACAAATAACTATCTTTTCACTTCGCTTAGTCGTGTAAAAAAGGACAGATAAGTACTGTTTGTGACAAAATAAAATATAGAAAATATGCATTTGATAATAGCAATATAAAATATAATATACCAAATAATAATATGCCAAGAAAAAAAAAATTAAATAAATATTTCAAATACAGTTTGAGCTTGGGTTGTATATCTTATATTTTTGATTTATTTTTTAGAATTTAATTTTTATGAAAAATTACCCAGGAAGATCAGCATTGATAGCTTCATGACTTAGCAGGATATGGATCATCGGAACGTCCCTGTTGACAACGAGCTGGTCAAGTCCTTCCAGCTTTGGATCCCAATATTCTTCACACCTGAACAATTATTTCAACATATTAGACAAGAAGCAATTTAAAAAATAATTAATTAAATAAACAATGATTACAGTTGACTATCGTTAATCCGAACTTCACTTATCTACGCCATTTCATAATTTGAACTATCCTTTCAAAGAAAAAAAAAAAAAAGAAGATTTGATTTTAAGCAAGTAGTAGATAAATTAGATTCAATAAAATTGTATTATCAACGCCTTATGTGGTGAGGCTTCAATAATCTAGTTGAAAAAAGCAACTCCTTTTTATTTCTTTATTTATGTACATACTCAAAATTTGAAGCTTATTTATTTTCTCAATTTCTTCGTTGATGGGTACAATTAACCGTTTCATTAAATTAATCTTCAGTGAGAAATGGTATTGTTGATACAATAGTAGTTTACATTATGAAAAACAACTATGTCTTAAGAAAACTTTGTTCTTTTTTTTAAATAATTACTATTACAAATAGACAATAATATGCCACTGACTGAAGTATGATTTGATTAATATGTCAATAAGATGATTACCTGCGATACTGTATCTTGTTGAATTGGTGGACATCTTTAAACTTGCGTTTGAGGATCTCTGCGCAGGAAATTACCTTTCCGATAGCTGCACCTGATCCTGTCCATAGGACATCTTTGCCGCTGTCGTACTCCTTCAAAGCCAATTCTAACAGATTCCTCATCTTACTACCTCCTTGTACCTGAGATGAGGATAAATTATTTTAAAAAATAAGTTAATGATAAATATTTAAGTAAAATACACTAATATCATATAAAAAGACCATAGAAGTTACGAATAACATATATTTATTTTAATTGAATATTTAATAGTTGACCGTTGCATTACAAAGGAAGGAGATGGTCCGGGGTGGCGGTCATAAATAGGCTAAATAGTGGCTAAAATATTTTATTAAAAGCCAACGTTTCGACCCGACTTTGTAGATCTTCTTCAGGGAGGTCTGTTCAGCTAGGAGTTTCACTTCGAACACTTGAGTTTCTATCCAGACCTCCCTGGAGAAAACCTGCAAAGCCAGGTCGAAATGTTGGCTTTTAATAAAATAGTTTTGTCTCTACTTAGCCTGTTTATGACTGCCACCCCGAACCATATCCTTCCTATATAATTTTTTTGTATGCTTATGTTTACTACGTTTATACATTTACTACAAAAATTTACTTATCTATGTCTATCACTGGCGCACTTACCCTAATTTACATAAATCAAATATTTTATGCATCTATTTAACTTAAAATTTATGGGCAAAATCAAAGGTAAAATTTTATTAAGTAAAAAACGCAGAGACATTTTTTTTCCGCACATAATAGGAGTTAAAAAGAACAGCTGGCCAATCTAGTATTGGCGAGAACATCAACCAGACAATAAGGAAGGGGATAGCCGGCCAATGAGCCTCGAAGCCGCTACAAGAAGTCCTGACAGACCAGGACCAATCAGCTAATGGAGCGATCATCGGGAGTGTGCTGAGCGAGCAGGGCTCTCTGAGGGGATTAGCCTACCATCGAGGTTGCCGATTTGATCGATTGTTCGAAATATCGATAACATCAAACAGAAAACTATCGAAAGTTGCTTTGATTATTTACCCCTTTAAATTTCGAAATGTGGAGGGGCAAAATTTGAAGATTTCATAAATAAAACTACTGGCCCGTGCCAGTGATGAACGAAACCGGAATCAATGACTACACGATTACAACCGAAAATAAAATATAATGCGGTTGCCACGCGGATTTTATACTGGATTCAATATAGTGATAAATATTTTTTTATTTTTTATTATTTCTTAATGATAATTACAACTGTATTATATAAATACATCTAGTAAATTTGAACATATGGATATAATGACATGAAAACACTTGCTGAGTAACTACCCAATGGTAGCACTCAAATGATATTTCTACATTAGGAGATCACGGGGCCAACTTCTTTTCAGACGCCTCGGAGGGTTATCAGGAATTGAAGAGGCAAGGTTAGAAACGAGAGGGTTGGGATGATTCTCAAATTTATTATGGAAGGATAGGTATCTAGATTGGGCCAGATCTGAAACAAAAGAAATATTAACGTCATTATGGATGGTTTTATTTGTAACAAAGTAGGGAGCATTGAGGATTTTACGAAGGATTTCGGATTGTAAGGATCTGATACGAGAGGAATTCGATGGTTTATTGAAGCCCCATAGCTCAACTCCGTAAGTCCAAATAGGCCTAATTATAGTCAAGTACATGAGTCTTTTGTAATTAATTGGAAGTTTAGATCGTTTGTCTAGTAAGTGCTGAAGTAATCGGAATCGTCGAGCGGTTTCAGTCTGGTACGTTATAAATAAAATGCGATTATCATGTGATACGAATGTCTGATTACAATCATAATCGGAAACCTGGTCACTGTAATCAGGGATGAACATCATCCCTAGGTCGATGGCGCAACAACCTACCCCTCCTCCCCCCCACCCTCTCACCCAAGATATTTTATTGCTCACTTTTCTTAAAAACTGAGGAGAGAAAAGTAGAATTAGAAAAGTCGTAGATTATACACAATTACACTTGCTGTAGTCTGTTCCATTTTTTCCCCTTGCACCTTATTCAGAAACTTTTCAATCTGAAAATCCATAAACCCGGTGAAATATGCCCCTCTCAAAAATGTTGATGGAGCATCTTGCGTCATAAAATCCCCTTTTGAACACCTTTGACTGTAATCACGTTATCAAGATCTCTGTAATAGTAATCACCTAATCACAATTACTGTAATCATAGCCGTTGATTATGATTATGCCAATCTAAGGCTCGTGGGAATAATTCCTTTTTGAACGGCCAAACGAAGGTAAGTCCTGTTAAAAAAAAAAATCAAATTATTCTCGATTTTTTCCCTCCTCTTCGAATTATACTAAAGATACTCCAGGCCAAAATTAACGATAAACAATGAATGAATTTACATTTTCAAAAATATCATCGATTTGATCTAATGAAGAGAAGAATAGTTGGGGTGATCAGTCAAATAAGAAAGCAAAAATAAATGATAATATTTATTTTGACATTTGCCGAAGTTTCGACCTGAAGTCCAAGCCTTCATCATGGCTGTCTCTAAAGGTGTAAAAACGGAGAGTGCGTTGGCAAATGTCGAAATAAATATTATCATTTATTTTTGCCTTCTTATTTGACTGATCACCCCAACTATTCTTCTCCTCATTATTGACGACAGTCAACCATTTTCCCACAATTTGATCTAATGTATGTATAGAAATCACAACATAGTGTAACAAAATTTACAAATATTATTAGTCATTAAGGTACCTGCATCCATAGGAAATCCTTGGGTAAATTAGGAATAGGCAATTTATCTTTGTCCAGCGGTTCTTCCACGTTCTTTCCTTTCGTATAGTTCTCCACTAAAAAAAAATAAAATAAATAAATTGGCAAAAAAGCAAGAATATAATTTATATATTTGTTTTAAAATTTCTGTTTTTATAGTTATTGAAAAATATGAAAACAGCAAAACAATTGAGTTTAAAAAAAAAAAGGCTCGAACACCAATCACATTTTAATATATACAGAGGCGACTTACAGATCGGGAATAATTAAAGCCAGTGTAATATTTTTTTATTTTATTTAAACAGTAACAAGCCGACTAGAAATTTGAAATTTCTCTATAATTAATTATAGAATAGAAAATAACTTTATTCTGGTACCAAAAATCAAAAAAAAAAAATAATAAAATATTGCAGAAAAAAATAATAACATCTGATCAGAAAAACTGTTATATTAAAAAATAGCTGGATGAAAAGCTTTTGAATAAATAAACTATAAATACAAAATCGAACCAATGAGACTATTTACAAAATACTACAATTATATACAATAAAAAAAGAAATTAAGCAAACTATGAAGATAAAAGGATATAATAAGCAAAAGAAAAAGATTTAAAAAGAAAAAAGTAGAAATAAGTAATATATATCATCATAATATACAAATATTTTATTTACGAAAACTCTGAGAATTGTGGCGTTTTCAATCTGGAGATCGTCAAACTTTGTCTATTTAATTAGGTACTAAGAACTCATAAATACAATTTATTGCTTCCTCACTACCGAAGGTAGGGAAGCATTGTGTTCGTGCGAGAGATTAAAAAATTTTTTTTGCTCAGAATCGAAAATTTTCACTCGCGTTTTACGTTTCAGACATCAAGGATCAAATTTGGTTCGGTGTCTGTCTTTCTGTTTGTCCGTCTGTTGTCTGTAGTCAAATCGATGTGACGGGCATATCACCTAGTACTGTTCATCCTATCTTCATGAAATTTTCAGGGATTATGCTGATTGGTGCCTAGATGGTCCCATATCAATTTTATCAAATTCCACCCAGCACTTCCGCTTACGCACGCGCAAACGTATATTTTTAGATATGCCAATATTTCAGAAAGGGCTCGTTCGATTTGGCTCAAAGTTAGATAAAAGGTAGACTTTGGTGAAAAAATAACGTAGTGTCAATTTTATTGAATTCTGTCCACCACTTTCTCTTATATATGCACTACTAGCCCGCTGTCCGCCGTCCGCGCATTTTTTTCGAAACTACTGGACCGATTGTTTTTAAATTTGGATATAAAATCAGAGGTCACCAGAGGATGATCATCCTTCAACGACATTACTATTCGCTTTCTTGTTTCAAAACGGCGCCAGAAAAACCTGCGTTGCTATAGACTGTAGCGCCTAAACGAATGTACCGATTTTAATGAAACTTCGCTAAAGTCATTTTCTCTACGCCCTTTAAATTTATCTATATAACATACTTCAACGAAAAGAAGCTCAAAAAAAAGTTACGAGGGATGGTAAAATTAAATTCCGAATAACTCAAGAAGTATACACATTTTTGTTAATATTGTATATGGTTTTTTATAAGTTTGCGGAATTTCCAAAAAAAAAAAAAAAATCGTTAAAATCGGACAATTAGGAGCAAAGATATGGTCTATAGTTTTTTTTTTAGATGTGCTATTGCAAAAGGTTTATCTTTTGTTTTGATTTTTGAATGTGTTACTGAAGTAATGCTATTTTTTAGCATATTACTAATGATTAAAAAAAAGTTTAGTCCAATAATTGGAATCACCTTTTATTTATTTTTCTTTATAACTAGGAATTTAATGTTACTTTATATGTATAATTGTTTGGAAATAATATACCATAGTGAAATAATTTTCAGTGGATTTTTTTTTCAAATTAAATATTTAATCTGGATCCGGTAGTGTATATCACTATTATCAGAGCAAAAGTTCGAATGTAAAAATTTTCAGCTTTAATTCTATGTGTTAATGGTGACATTTTGTAGTCTGCATCTGATATAAGTAGTCTGCTACTATGGAAAATAGCAGATGACAATAAAATATGAAATTATTCTAATAAAGCATAAAGAAATTATGAGTTTTTATGCACTCTTGTAAAACAATAAATAAATTTGTACGTAAGACCTTTTGCACTAACAGTATTGAAATTCATGTTCAGTATGCATTTTTTTTTTTTTTTTTATTAAGCATAATCAAGTATGGAATCTTCAAATACGACACTCTTTTGTTGAATGTTGAAGGGTAACTGTAATCGGCTATTCCGATTCTTCTTCTCTCAGAGATTTTATTCTCGTACGAAAAATTGTATACCTTGTAATATACAACGGAAACGGTGAGGAAGCTATACTGACCTTACTTGGCAGACGTTTTTTTCACTTAAATCGCAAGATAAGTTGAACACAAACTAGAGAAAAAAAGGTGGCCTACAAAAATATTGGGCCGTTTACCATTATAAAATAGCGTTGTTATACAGCCCAAACGGCACTATATTTTTGTAGGACATATTTTTTTCCGATTTTGTGATCGAATTATTTTGTGATTCAAGTGGAAAGCAAATGGATTTTCATCAGTTTTTAGTACCTAATTAAATATACAAATATTGATGATCTCCATACTGCAAACGCCCTTTTTCCCGAGAATTTTCGTAAACAAAAATGCTATAGGTTACGAGAATAGAGCTTCTAAAGACATTATTTATTTATGAAACTCCACAAATAGCTTCATCTCATAGTAACATTCAAATGTTTTATTTACCAAAATTCTCGAAATCGGGGCGTCATCAACCTATAGGTCGGCAAACTTTGCATATTTAATTATATACTAAAAACTCGTAAATATCCATTTGCATTCCACTTGGATCGTAAGATAACTTCGTCACAAAATCTATAAAAAATATTTGGCTGCTTGGCCTATATAACTTCGTTATTTCGACAATTTGGGAGAGTATGTCAAGCCAAACGGTTCAATATTTTTGAAGGCCATCTTTTTTCTCGACTTTGTGGTCAAATTATCTTATGATTCAAGTGAAAAGCAAATGAATACTCATGAGTTTTTAGTGACTAATTAAATAGACAGAGTTTGCCAGTCTCCAGATTGAAAACGCACCAATTCCGAGAATTTTTAAAAAATTTATTTATTGCGGATTACAACAATCAGTCTCTTGGACATTAGTTATAGTGCGGTAGGATAACATTCACACTATATGTACAAAAAATATAAAATAAATAGAAGCAAAATAATAGTAAAAAGTATATGCAATAAGTGATCAAATAAAATAACTTAAAAAATAAGAAAATTAAAATTAAGAAAAAAACACAAGCATACCTATATATAGCCCGAGAATTTTAGGTAAATAATTGTAGGTTACGATGAGATGAAATAATTTACAAAGTTTCAGGCGGATGTTAATAATTTTATAAAAAAGGAACAGATTCTGTAGTACCACGGACTAGATTCTGAACGTTGTGGGTTCGATTCCCACTTGGGTAGGTTAATATTAATTGTTCTCGGGACCCGGGAAATGAATCATGACACTCCCACTCTGGTAAGTACTCCAGAGGTTGGCAAAAAGGAGCACTAGTAGTCTCCCACTAGTGCCAGTATCAGGTGATCCCATGAATTATTTGAACCATAGAACTTAAAAATTGTTCAAGCCGTTCTCTCAAAAACACATTGCGTACTAAACACACTCTCCTTTTACAGTAGATCCGCCTACAGAGGTCGCTTTATCATCACTATTAGCTTTAACTATCGATATAGTTAGCTGGTGCTCCTTGTATAAAAATAGCCAGCAGGAAAGGACAAATATAGAATGAGACCAAGACTAACGTGGTCTGTTAGCCGACATCGATCGAGGAGGCTGCGACTGGATCTGGGACGACATCTATCGGATTCCGGCCTCGGGGCTATATGAGGAGGCTCCAGTAATAATGGCGAAATGAGGGCCGTGTTGGAATTCCAGGGGCAGGACGAGGGGGGGGGGGGGGGGGTTTCGGAGTTCCACAGCTCGGCGACCATTTTATTTTTCATTATATCTCCGACTCTGCTGATGTCTATCTCTCGGATGTTGAATGAAAGGTCACTTATCCAGCTGCTGTACAATGTATGTTCCTTGAAGGCCATCCTTTAACAATGTCGTATAAGTACAGTTACACTTCTTCGTCGGGAAGGAGTCAAAGAAAAATCTGTATGTTAATAGGCAAGCTCTGTTTTAGGCAAGCGACTTTCGATTTAAAAAAAGTTTTTATACCTTTAAATATATCCTATAAAAAAGAAAACATAAAATTATCTGGTGCGGTGCATGCATCACATAACCTTTCTTTCTTTTTTTTTCTCGAGAAAATCATGAGCGTGTTCTAATCTTTCGGGTGAACTCGGCAGCGCTCGTATTACTTTGGTTCTTCCATTACAACTATTGTCCTTTACGACATCTTATTTCTCTTTTAGTTAATTAATAAAATTCTTTCATATTTTATAATTAACTATTTTTTGTAATCAAATATTAATGGTTAATTATATCAAATAAAAAAAATTAAAGGCACTTTAGAGGAGCTAATATTGAAAATTATCCACTTAAGCTCTATTAGACCCCATACCAGACTGAAACGAGAAGAAACCGCCCGACGTTTTCGACTACTGCAGCACTTACTAGACAAACGCTCTAAGCTTTCAATCAATTACAAACGACTCATATATATGACAATAATAAGACCTATTTGGACTTACGGAATTGAGCTTTGGGGCTCCACTAAACCATCGAATTCCTCTCGTATCCAATCCTTACAATCCAAAATCCTTCGTAAAATCCTCAACGCTCCTTACTTTGTCATAAATAAAATCATCCATAAAGACCTTACTGTTCCATATGTTTCCGATTTGGCCCAATCCAGATACCTTTCCTTCCATAACAAACTGCAGAACCATCCGAATCCTCTCGTTTCAAACCTTGCTTCCTCCTCGATCCCTGATAACCCTCCGAGGCGTCTGAAAAGAAGATGGCCTCGGATCTTCTAATATAGAACTTTAATTTGAGTTCTACCAATGGGTAGTTTCTCTTCA